TTGAATGAAGTTCCCATGGGAGAAAAATAGCCATCAAGTCTTGTGTTTCTTTTTATTTTAACTTGTGTGAGATTTTTTTTTTTATTGTCTCAGTGGGCAGTTGGCGGGTGCTCTGGTGTGGTTTGCTTCTTCTTTCCTATCAAACATCTATCGTCCTTATCTCCCCTTCTTCTTTTTTATGTTTGTTACTCTCTTGTAACACGTCTAATCTTCTGGCGCTCATATGACCTTATGCAGTTGCGAGCGCCGTAAAACCTCTACTAAAACTACACTAAAACTTATTGTCTCACCACAGAATTTATGATTAATATTATAACGAATGTACTATATATAGATGGTCACATAATTCGCAGGCTTGCCAACCTTCCCGAATTTTTCGGGAAATTCCCAAATTGTCAATGTCGTTTACGAACCTTTCCCGAAACAGTGTGGTGGGTGTTGTTTTTTAAAGTAACTTTAGTGGCCTATCACAGAAGTGTGAAAACTTCCAGAATTCAGTATCATCTCAAAAGTTGGCAAGCCTGAATTCGTAAACACGTTTGAAGTAAGCTTTGTATCTCTGTGTATCTCTGTGTATCTCTGCAGCCGCTTCTTCGATTTTTACCTTATTTTTTGTGATTGTTACATGCACCCGCGACATTATGAAAATTCAAATTAGGTACATGTAGCTAGTTAGTGAATGGTTAATTAATTACTTTTTGTCATTAGTACGTCACATTTAGTGCATAATTTTATTGTTTTTGTTTTGGTAAGTTTTACGGCGCTCGCAACTGCATAAGGTCATAAGAACATTGCTAGAGAGCAGGGAAGGAGATGAAAGGAGAAAATGTTGGAGAAGAAAAATTTCCGTCGGTCGGTCGCTATCCGGATTTGAACCCGGGACCCATTGAACGAGAGGTGAACACCTTTATCCCTAGGCAACAGTTATTTTTTGGGGGTTTTTTTATAAGCACTTTACGGCGCTCGCAACTGTATTTGGTCATATGAGCGCGCGGGACACAGTAAACATTTTCAGATGGTAGGAAAGTTTGAATTTTGCCCGAGTGACAGCCGAAGCCTAATCTTATTGATTTTGCGCCATCAAGGGATCTTTAACGTGCGCAACTTACACTTGGGACCTCTGAGATTTTTCGCCCTTGTCCGAAATGGCTTAGTGTATTTTTTTAAAATCTTTCCTGTCGTAAAATTAAGATCAGGGGTGTGGCTGAAGGACAGCAGTAAGAAGGAGTCAAGGAGTAGCTGTAGAAAGGCTTGAGAAAGAGTCAGGAGCCCAGGGGGGGGGGTGCAAAGGGGGTGGGGGCAGAAAGAGGAGACGAAAGAAGACGACAGAACATTGCTCTAGAGCAGGAACGGAGGTGAAAGGAGGCACTTTTGAGGAACAGAAATTTCCGTCGCTATCCGGATTCGAACCCGGGACCTATTGAATGAGAGGCGAACACCTTACCCTCTCGACCACGACAGCTCCCTAGAACTTTCAGTATCTATGATATAATCAAACACGAAAAAATGTGCGCATTCAGGGGCGCACAAAAAATAGAACAAAAGGAAGGACTTCCGTAACGAGCGACCACCCCAACAAACACAGTAATAAAGAAGAGACCTAACCCTAGATCTAGATCTAATCCTGATCCAACTCCTAACTATAATTTTTTTTTTGTCACCTGTCCCCGTGGTTTTATGCACCCCGCATAATTTAGCAAAATTTGATCATTTTTTTGAATAATTTCTGATTATTTTCCTTTATCATTCTTTGTTAAAATTAACAGAATCACATATTTTCACATTGTTGGGCTTAGGTTGCATAATTTCTGATTTTATTTTGCGTAAAACGGTTCCCATAAAACCGCGGGGACAGCCTTGACCCTACCCCTACCCTCACCCTAACCCTCTATCTATTCTACTGTTTCATAGTGGTCGCTCATTACGGAAGTCCACCTGAACTGAAAGTGGCAAGAAGTTAGTAGGCCCTAGTAGTAGATTAGATCTAGAATCTAGATCTAGATCTAGTAGTAAGAATTGGCCTACCTTTGTTCTGTCAGCGAGTCAGACGAGTCTTCACTTGGGTTGATGACTGCTCTCGGTTGGATATGGAGGAACTGAAGTCCTTTCTTC